TCCCCGCTGAGCAGAGAAACTGACACAGGGCTCGATCCCAGGACCCTGAGATCATGACCCGAGCTGAAGGCAGAGGCTCAACACACTGAGCCACCCAGGTGCCCCCCATCATGTCTTTCTGTTTTAATTCTTTGCCCACTAGAGATACACCTAGACGACGGACTGTCTTGTTTATTTAGTGGCATATTCTTGGACCACCGCCTCCTTCAGAACAGGGATCTTGTCCTCGGCTGTTACGGCCCCACCCAAAGCGGTGCCTGGAAGCAGTCACAGCAGCTGGATAAACAGAGATCGCAGGAGTCCCTCCGCCTCCTCCTCTGAGCAGCCCCCCTGACTGCTTGCCCGCCAGAGCTAATGTCATTGCCCATGTTCCCGGCTACTTTTCTAGATCAGGAGCTGCGTTTGCTTCACCGGCTTGTCTCCACGGTGCACCCCAGGGTGGGGCACACAGGACGGGTTCCCTGAGAGAGTGTGGGCAGAGAGGGGAGCAGAGACCATGCTCCAGAGCCAGGGGTAGACCAGTCCACACGGTGCCTCCGCACCTGGTTTCCAGCAGCATCCGCTTATCTCCAGAGCCTGATCAAGTGGCCTTTTTCAAGTCCCTGACCTGACCTTTGGTTCCTGCCCTCCCCCAAATTTACACTCGCTCTTTGAAACACTCAGTCTTAGCAAACAGCTTGAGAGGTTTGCTTTTTCCCTGGTGGAGAGTCGGTGCGGGGCCACTTCCCTTGGACTCTGCCTTGTGATTGGGGTTCTGGCTTCTCAAGGGTCATCAGCTCTGTGTACTCAACGTCACTATGCCCCGCTCGGCAGCCCTCCTAGATTCCTGGAGCCCCCTGGACAGAAGACCCCTGGCAGGGCTGTGTTTCCTGCTGCCATTGACATGACTTTGAAGGGCCTCAGGCCCAGAGGACAAGGAACATCCAGCCCACGCAGCAAATGGGCAGACCTCCCAGAAAGGCAGGAATGTGAAGCAGAGAATTACATAAACCAGGACCCTTGATGCTACAGACTAGAGGAAAAGTGGCTCGGGGAAGCAGGGGAGATAATATTGCAGGAGGTGGGAGGGATGAGCAAAGAAAGGGACAAGAAAGCCTAGACTTTGCTGGGGAAAGAGCCTCCTTTGAAGATGCATATTCTTTAGTCTGTCCTCAGGTAGGCCTGGCTTTTTTGTTTTGTCTTTAAGATTTTATTTATTGGGGCACCTGGGTGGCTCAGTGGGTTAAACCTCTGCCTTCAGCTCAGGTCATGGTCTCAGGGTCCTGGGATTGAGCCCTGCAACTGGCTCTCTGCTCAGCAGGGAGCCTGCTCCCTTCCCCCCCCACCGCAGCCTGCTGCTCTGCCTACTTGTGATCTCTTTCTCTGTCAAATAAATAAAATCTTTAAAAGAAAAGATTTTATTTATTTATTTGAGAGAGAGCGAGCAGAAGAGGGGGTAAGGTCAGAGGGAGAAGTAGACTCCCCGCTGAGCAGAGAGCCTGAGGCAGGACTCTATCCTGGAGCTCCAGGGTCATGACCTGAGCCAACGGCAGTCACTTGACCGACTGAGCCACCCAGGTGCCCTAGGCCTGGGTTTTAATGCATGCTACACGCTAATAGTATTCTGCTGAGGTGGTCATTACTGAATTTGACTATGCCAAGATGAAAAATAGTTTTTCAAGTATCTCAGCTTGTCACTCCCTAGTGCACCATAGGGACTTTCATGCTAGATGCCTCAGGATTTTCTCAGATGGAGATCAGCTAAGTTCAAGGTCCCCTTGTAAAAATTACCAAACATGGCAGAAATTAAGCAGAATGAAAGCTGACTGATACTACAAGCTTCCAAAGGAGTCCTCCCAGGATAGCTACCTCTATTTAACAGATACATTGATATTTTTATGTTTATTTATTTTTAAAGATTTGATTTATTTATTGTCAGAGAGAATGTGAGAGAGGAGAGAGAGCATAAGCCGGGGGAGCGGCAGGCAGAGGGAGAAGCAGGCTCCCCACTGAGCAGGGACCCTGACATGGAACTCGATCCCAGGACCCTGAGATCATGACCTGAACTGACTGAGCCACCCAGATGTCCCAAATTGATATTTTTTAAAAGACAGTATAAGAAAGAAAGAAGCATGGGCACCTGGGTGGCTCAGTGGGTTAAGCCTCTGCCTTCAGCTCAGGTCATGATCCCGGGGTCCTTGGATGGAGGCCCACATTGGGCTCTCTAGTCAGCAGGGAAACTGCTTCCCCCTTCTCTCTGCCTGCCTCTCTGCCTACTTGTGATCTCTGTCAAATAAATAAATAAATATTATCTTTTAAAAAAAAAGAAAGAAGCAAAGAAAGAATGAAAATTTAAACAATCGAATTAATGAATTAGAATAATGAAATAACTATAAAGTTAATAATATAATTTTTTAAAAAACCTGTTCTTTACAAGAACAAAATAAATAAACTTGGCAAATCTGACCAGAGAAGTTTGGATTACTGCTGCTGATATTTTATGTCTCCACATCATAGAATTACACGTTCATGCCCTTGGCCATGGTACATTGTGGAGTCTGTCCCTGGAGTACGTGGGATGCTCTGTGTCCCACCCCCTGCGACATTCGGCTTGACCATGTGACCGTGAGCAGACACAAGAGGAAGAGCAGCTTTCCATGTGCTTGGGCATTTAACCCGGCCTCTTCTGGTTTTTCCAATCATGGGAGAATATGTCTTTGCTACTACTAATATTGGATTAATTAAACAATGTGGAGCAGACACAAACCCACCTGAAAGCCAGAAGTCAAAAGTAGCTACTGACGTCGAGGCATGCATCCGTGGTCAGGAGCATGATCCCTGGAACCTGACTCGTGTATTCACAGCCCAGACCGCGCACGAACTGGCCATATGTCCTACGGCACATCACTGTGACCTTTATGAGCCTCAGTATTCTTATTCGTAAAATGGGGATGACAACAGCATCCACAAAATAGGGTTAAGGAGGATCACATGAGTTAGTCCAAGTATAGTTCCTGGCACAGAGTAAGTGTGATGAGAGTATCAGCCCCTAGACCAGCGAGGGTATATCCCAGGAAGGAAAGGATGGTTTGATATCAAAAACTAAATCCATGTAACTCACTAATATAATATATACCAAGTTTGATGAAGAGTCATAGAGCAGACATGTACAAGCTGGAAGCTTGAAGCTCACCCTGTTCTCAAAATAAAGGGGCGCCTGGGTGGCTCAGTGGGTTAAAGCCTCTGCCTTTGGCTCAGGTCATGATCCCAGGTTCCTGGGATGGAGCCCCGCATCGGGCTCTCTGCTCAGCAGGGAGCCTGCTTCCTCCTCTCTTTCTGCCTGCCTCTCTGCCTACTTGTGATCTCTCTCTGTCAAATAAATAAATAAAATATTTTTTAAAAATGAATACATGGCCTCACAATGTTTCATACAATCTTTTCCCCAGAACCCTGCATTGCAAACATTCTAGGACTGATTGATTTGACAGAAAGCGATAGCGAGAGAGAGGGAACAGAAGCATGGGGGAGCTGGAGAGGGAGAAGCAGGCTCCCTGCACACCACCACCTTCGGGCTATGGGAAACATTGAGGTGGCGGAGTGGAAAATGGAAGGCATGGTATCCCCACCCACAAAGGAACCGTGTGGGGTTAGCTCAGGAGATATCTTAATGCCGGCCATTAGCACGAATGCCCCTATGTTCTTCCAGATGTTTTCTGTAGCTTGCCGTATGTTTGTACGACTTAGGGGTGCAAAGCAGTTTGCCCCTCCAACCCAACAAAGAAGGCATTACCTGAGATGGAACTCTTCATTTTTTTGAGGTAAGTTGGGGCTCAGAGCCAGAGTTAATTTGATTTCTAGAAATACAGAAACTTTTTGTTTCTTGAAACCCAAGCAATGAAAACTCATGTTAAGGCAGTCATGGTTTATTACACTTCAGTCACCTCTGTCTGGTAAGAGGCAAGGTGGTTTTGAGCATGAGCTTCCGGTCTGGGTAGACAGGTTTGAATACAGCCTCTGCCACTTGCTCCAAGTCATACAATTCAGAACATTTAACTTCTCTGAGTTTGCGTCCTCAATAAAAATGGGGGGAAATCAGGCTGGGCCCATGGCATTGTGTAGAGATTAAATCCTATTCCATAAGATGTATTAGATGTATTAGAAGTGCTTGGCAAGGTTCTGGGTACATAGACTTGGCACATACGCTATTTGTGTGCTCACTAAACAGCCAGTGGTGTGGTGAGAGGTGTGAACACCTCACTGAGATCCAAAATAGGTGTGGACATGTCCATCAGCCAGAAGTTACTTGGATTATGTCTGGGTCGGGGGTGAGATCTTCCCTAGGGGTGTAGACAGGCTGCTTTTCGATCAGGGAGTTGGGAGGCAACCCAAGACTCAAGGAAATTATTAGGGTTAGGTTGGCCTCCCGCACATGCCGGGGCACCCCCCAGCCCCCCAGCCTCATGGAGACACTGACCAGATGTACCCTCATAGGCTCCAGGCTGCCAGAGAATCCCAAATGCATCCTTAGCCCCACACATATGGAATTCCCCAGAAATCCCCCCTACACACCATTGTGCTTGATCAGAACTGCCAAATCTTGATGAGGTTGGGCAGTGGGTAATCTGCAGAGGGAGAGGAGAGGGGGCTGGGAAGCAGGCACCTGCTGTGTGATTCTGGAGGGAACTTCCAACCCAGGACCTCACTGTTGCCATCTGGCCATGAAGAAACCGGACAAGAGGAGGAAGAAGGAAGTCTCCGACTCTTGCCCAAGGGCAAGGTTAGGAGGGGCACCTGCAGTGCAGGGCCCAGAGGGGCTGGGGGAGTGGGGAGGGACATGTCAGACTGATTTCTGATGCATGAAGTGGACGAGGATTCCGGACCTGATCAGGGAGGGGAGTGGCTAAGAATGCCTCCTGCTCGAGGGGCCACAAATACATTTTGCTGGGAAGGAGCTGTAGCATCTCAGAGATCAGGCACATGTTCCGGCTGGAGGCTGGACGGCAAGGCAGGGCCCTATCTACCCGGCCACCCAGGGGCCTTCTCAGAACTCACAGACGGCCAGCCGGTACTGCAGGCAGTTTTTGTTGTTCCACTGCCCATCTGTGTACATCTCCACACACTTCTCCTTGCCCCACCCCCTGGGCTCCCCTGGGTACCAATTGGTGTAATTCACAGGGGCCCCATCCAGGTAGAGGAATTCTTTGGAGTCAGGGCTCTCCATCAGGCCCAGGTATGCGTAAGTGTTGTACTTCTTCACGATGCTTGCGATGGCTTCGTTCTCTTCTGGGCTCGTCGGGGCAGCGATACGACCCCCTGCTCTGGCACATAAGCTTTGAATGTCCTCAAAATTTACCGACTGCCCGTTGCTGGAGAAGACCTTCTCTCCCACGACCAGCATGGACTCCTGCAAGCTGAGGACTGGAGCAGAGAAACCGAGTCAGGCCACCGACTGCTCAGGCTCGTGGTCCCCTCCCCTCGCTCGGGCTCCCTGTCTTTACGCCCGCTCTCCTCTCCTGCCCTGCCAGCCTGAGTCTTCCTCAATCCCCCTCCCTGCTCTTATCATGCTCTTCGTTCACCCGTTTCACAATTACTGATCGACCATCTATTATGTGCTAGGAATTCCAATTTACAAGATTCAACAGAAAGCGAGAGAGGGGGTGCCTGGGTGTCTCAGTTGGTTAGGCGACTGCCTTCCACTCAGGTCATGATCCTGAAGCTCTGGGATCAAGTCCAGCATCAGGCTCCCTACTCAGCAGGAAGTCTGCTTCTCCCTCTGACCCTGCCCCTTCTCATGCTCTCTCTCACCAATAAGTAAATAAAATCTTAAAAAAAAAAATGGCAAGATAGGCAGAGAACTTATACTCCCCTGACATCGGGAGCTGAACTGTGTCTACCTCTGTCTCCTTGGGGCCATTCAAAGAATCAGGAAAGAGAAGTATCATTTTTTTTTTTCCCCAAGACCTGCATATCCACCCCCGCTTGTCGAGTCTCGAGGTTCTGGAGCCCGATGCTGGGAATGGAGGAAACCCTATGCTGTAAGCCCCTATGGAACCCGCTTACCTCCCATGGCCTGCAAGATTTGATGTCTGAACTTGTGGAGTGTGGTTTGGAGCTCCTCATCTAACGAAGCTGGAAGCCCTGTGAAGAGATTCCCGTCCACGATCAGGGTCCAGCCAAGCAAGACCCCCACTTGTGGCCAAGCAGGCCTGACACCAGCTGCGAGCCTTTACTTGTCCACGCCCACTGCTCTGGCCCTGGAGTGTGTCTCCACGCTTGTCCTTTGCTGCAGCCCTGCACCTGCTAAGCTCCCACCTGCCCTTCTTTCCTGCCTTTAATGGCTTCTGTCCTTTAACGGCTTCTGCCTTCTGTCCTTTAACGGCTCTGTCGGCCCACTCCTGCGGGTTTTTCTGGTTTGGGGGCAAGGTCCCCTCCTTCCCCCTCCACCAAAGGCAAATGAGCTATACCCATCCTTCTCTGTCTGGCCTGGCTGAGCCATGGAATCATCTACCTGCCTGCCAGAATAGGCTTTCACCGTGGTCTCTACCCCTGATCCTGACCCTACATCCTGCTTCAACCTCACCCCTCCCCACCTGCCACCCAGCAGCTTGGTCAATAGTGGGCAGTTGTCCAGGAAGCAGGATTTCAAACACTGACGTAGGAAGCCGCTCTGATGGACAGGTAGAGCTCGTGGCTCTCTGTGCTCTCCTGACTGACCTCGGTCACCGCCCTAAGCTCTGGAGTGCCCCTCTGTATGTGGGGCTCCCATTCGCATCATCTGCCCAGCATCCACATAACCCCATACACCTTTCAGAATGCGCCCTCTACCTTAGCCCTAGGAAGTGCCTTCCCTGCCTCCCGGCGCTGTCCTCGTCCTGCACCTGATGCCCCACCTGTGCCCATCAGCAGTTGTGGCGTGTGGAGTGCTTCTAACCCCCGCCAGTCCTCGCCGTGGCCCACTGCCCGGGAGTCTCTGACTCCTCTCCTTGGCCTCGTCTTCTCTCACTTAGGCTGAGCAGCATGCCCTTTGCGGGCTTCCAGGGTTCTATCTGACCCCCACCATCCCTCACGTAACTGGCCACCTGGGCGCAGTGCCTGTGTTGTTGAGGCCCACTTGCCCTGCCCTGCTCACCTGGAGGGCCCCTCTCACCAGGCTCCCCCTTTTCCCCACGCTCTCCAGCAACGCCAGGGGCTCCAGTCACCCCCTCAGGCCCGGGGTAGCCTGGCATTCCTCCAGGGGGGCCCATGGGGCCTGCAGAGAGAAGGGGACATGGATGTGTGTTATTTACCACCCACAGCAGAGCTGGGGCTGATGTAAAGGGACTCCCCCTTATCAGCTGAGCTGATTCACCTGTCATCCCATGGGCACTTTGAGGGTAACCAGTCTAAGTCCCCCAGGCAACTCCCAACTCCCACCGTGCGCCACCATCCCACTGACCGGGGGACCCAGCCCAGAGCCCAGGACAAGTGGGCCTCCTGGAAACAGGTCCCTGTCCCTCAGCTGAGGGCAGGGACTCACCCAGTACCTGGAGGCCCGGGGTCTCCTTTGACACCGTCTCTCCCATCTCTGCCCGGCAAGCCGTGGGATCCGGGAGTGCCAGGGATGCCAGGGTGGCCACCACAGATGTCCTTCCCACTGTACTCGAGGCCGGACACCATCAGCAAGGTGAGAGTGAGGGCCAAAGGGCGCAGCAACATGGCTTCTGTCCCAGAGATTTTCCTGCAGCGAGAAAGCACCACTGGCTCATCTGACACATCTGCAAAGGTTTCCCTGTTGCTGTGCTTTGTCAAGATTCAGGCACGTGGCCAGGCCTGGGGGCCAGTGCAGGTACAGACACGACTAAGGGAAAGACCCAACTTGTCCCTGGAAACTGCTGGCATCCTCTGCGGTCTCACACCCCACCTCTGGGGCTGGAGGCGGGATGGTACCTGAGCTGGTGAGGGGAACCTGGACAGTCAGAGGGCCTGGTTTCTAATGCGCTCTCTGTTTACACCTCGCCGTGTGACCATGGGGACTCACGTCACCTGTCTTGACTCCTGTGCCCTGGAGACAATCCCGACCTTTCCCTCCCGGGTTGTGGGAAGGAGGGATGGCCTCACCCCCTCCCTCTGTCCTTATACTCTCAGCTACCCTCCTTGCAGGGTCAGAGAATGAGGATATTGGCAAGCCCACATTTCTGCATCCATCGTTATGATTCTGAGAATGACTCCCACGGGGAGGCCCCCTCTTTCCCAGTCTGGCCCTTAGTTACGCCTGTGACCGCTGGGCTGGTTCTCTTTGCCTGCAACCTGTGCCCTAGGGAGGACCACAGGGATGGGTTTAAACTCACCCTCGAAAACAGAGCCCCTGTGGACCTCTGCCTTCAGGTCGGCGGCGTGAAGAGGCAGGCAGCCCCACTTATATGCACGCAGGCTTCCAGGCTTCCTCTCCAGCCCAGAGAGGCTCCTGTCACAAGGGCCGCAGGAAGCAGCCATCTTGTTTACACAGCAACATTCCCTCACAGAGCACTCAGGCTGGAGGGGCACTTAGGACACTTGCTAACATCTCAGGGGGTGGGACACTCTCCCCGCTGCCAGCTTTCCCAGCAGTGAAGGACGAGAGCCCTTACCCAGGCACGGGTGGAGGCGTGCCGTGAAGGGGGACTTCTCCCCCCATTCTACTGTCACCATCCCCCCAGATGCCCACCTCCACAGAACACCATAGCAGGCCGCGCTCTTTCCCCAGGGGAGCAAACAGGCCAGTCAGCCACACACAGGCTATCTCTCCATGTGGCCCCTTCCTGGGGCCATTCCAGCTCCAGAGTCTCTTTGGCCCGGGGACGGGAGCCCTTTGGTTCCAGGCCGCACAGAGGCCATGGCTTAGGTGGAGGGTGGTCAGGTGGTGCTAGGACAAGCTGTGTGTCTGGGGATGGGTCTCACCACTGAGCGAGCTTCCCAGCACCACCCCCTCCCCGTCCTCCCGGGGCCCTGCTTCTGGAGCCCCTGGCGAAGCAGGTGGGCACGTGGTTCAGAGTCACGGGCAAACCCTTTGCGCGTTCCAGTTCCCCTGCTCCGGCAGGCTCAGCGGCGGGGAGGCAGGGCCATGCCTGGAAGGCCACCCGAGGGCAGCGGCTCCCAGTCTGGTACAGGGGTGATGTCTGTAACCTGCAGTGGTCATTGTTCTAAAGGACTGGATAACATATGAAACCCTGACTGACGAGATCCCCTATTCAGGCCACCTGATGTGGGGTTGGGGGAGGATCTCTGTCTGGAGGGATGGTAACAGTGGGGAGCTAAGGCCAGAAAAAGTCACCATGTTTACCTGTAGTGGCTTGAAAAATCTTGAGGTCCTTAGGCAGAGTGAGACAACTCTGGGAAAGTGGGGGCTCAGCTAAAAGGACCCCACTCCTAGGAGGAGGGAGCCAGCCCAAACCCTGCCGCTGCCTGCTGCTGCCCCACGTGGGGGGCCGGCCAGGCAGGATGGGGGGCCGGGCCGGCACAGGGCTGGGGTGGGTGGGGCAGCAGTGCCATGAAAGGGACTTCAGTGTGGCTGTTCTGCAGGTGAAGGAACAGGAACGCGGGTGAATTCTGAAGGGCCTTGGCAAGGCAGCCGGGACGGCCAGGGCTGTGTGGGCGTAGGTGGGGATCTGGGACTCAGTCACACCTTAGCTGGGATTGGGAGCTGACCCTGTTATCTGTGTGGCCTTGGTCAGGTTATATAACTTTTGAGCCTTGATTTTCTTTCTTTCTTTCTTTCTTTCTTAAAGCTTCTACCCATTTATTTGTCAGAGAGAAAGAGAGAGAGAGCACAAGCTGGCAGAGTGGCAGGCAGAGGCAGAAAGAGAAGCAGGCTCCCGGCTGAGCAGGGATCCCGATGTGGGACTCGATCCCAGGACCTGACCTGAGCCAAAGGCAGATGCTTAACCAACTGAGTCGTGCAGGTGTCCCTGATTTTCTTTTTTTCAATTATTATTTTGTAGCAATATCAAACAGAAAAATGGCAGGTGCAGTACCAATTTTTTCTGAACCAACGAGAACAGATTGCCAACACGACACTCCATTACCTGGATCTTTACTTTATATTTCATACGAAGATGTTTTCCTATACGACCACAATGTAATCATCAAGGTCAAGAAATCAACAGTGACTCATCCTATGTTATTTTTATTAAAATATTATTTCATTATTTAAGTCATTTTGTAGCTTAATGGCAATATATAAAATTGTGTCATACATAATTCCAAATAAAATGACCCATCTAAATGAGCTACGTGGCCTTCTTGTTCATGCTGTGCCTGCTACTCTCCCTTCTGTGACTTCTGACAGAGGATGCTCCAAGTTCACAGAACTGGAGCTGATTTTCCTGACTTTCTTTGATTGTGATTTTTATCTTGTCTGGAGTATTCTGACTGCCCTTCTGCCACAAAAAAATAAGGAAAGAAGGAAGGAGGGAGGGAAGAAGGAAGGGAGGGAGGGACGGAAGGGGGTAAGGAAGGAATGAGAGAGAAGGAAGGAAGGGAGGGGGGGTAGGAAGGAAGGAAAGGAGAATTCACACTGATACAATAAGTCCATATAACCTCGAGGCCCTGCACGAAATTTGCCAGACGCCCCCAGGAACGTCCTTTATGCGAAAAAGATCCAGTTTAGGAGTTCATGTCCCATGTAGTCGTCACATCTGTCTCATCGCCTTAAATCTGAAACAGTGCCAAAGTCTTTCCTTAATTTCCATGGCCTTGACAGTTCCTGGCACTAACAGGTTAATTGTAGGAAATGTCTCTCAGTTTGCATCTTTCCGATGTGTTGTCTCAGGAGTCCATCTGGGTTCTGCCCCTCCGGTAGGCACATCACAGAAATGACGCTGTGTCCTTCCCGTCACGTTCTAGCAGGTGCAGTTTTGACTCGTCTCAGTAACGGTGATGTTCACTCAGGTCATTTGGTTGAGATGGTGCGGGCCAGACTTCCCCATCATAAAGTTAGCTCTGTTTCTCTTTTTCACTGATAACCCTTTTGTGGAAGCTATTTCACTGCTGTCAAAAGATCCTGCTCCTCCTCAAGCTTCCTTTTTTTATTTTTAAAAATTTTATTTATTTATTTGATGCACAGAGAGAGAGATCACAAGTAGGCAGAGAGGCAGGCAGAGAGAGAGGGGGAAGCAGGCTCCCCACTGAGCAGAGAGCCCAATGCAGGGCTCAATTCCAGGACCCTGAGATCATGACCTGAGCCGAAGGCAGAGGCTTAACCCACCGAGCCACCCAGATGCCCCCCAAGGTTTGATTTTTCCTTTTAGCCATTTTAAATCCTCTGCCATAATATTCCCACAGTTGGAGGGGTGTACTTATTCCACTCCTGCCTACAAAGAGATAGAGAAGCAAATTTTCTAGTTAACTATAGTTTAAGGTCTAATCTCAGGGATCTGGGTGTCAGCACAACAACATGAAGGAAAAGAGAATTTAGGCTGTTCCCGGAGATAGTCAACACATTACATACACACACACACTACATTGGTACCTCTCCATCAAATGTCATTTGATCAAAAAAAGAATGTCATAATAAATAAATCTATTTCTATTACCTAAAAATGCCAACTTATTTAAAAATTCACATTACTTGTTTTTCCTAACACTGTGTCAACATAGCCTTTCACCTTTCACACCATGCCCCTAGAATTTCCCATACTATCTAGTGTGCCTTCTAAACTCCAGGGAAGAACCCCATGCTTTAGGCATTTTCTTTTTTTGCCCTTTATTGAAATATAATTGACATATAATATCGTGTGAGTTTAGGTATTGAGTGGAGACACTCACATATCATGAAATCATTGCCCCTGCAGCTCTAGCTAACGCCTTCATCACCTCACATATTTGGTGTGTCTTTTTTTTTTTTTTTTGGTGGCAAAACATTTGAGATCTACTCTCTCAGCAATTTTCAAGGTTATAATGCAGCATCGTTAACTAGAATCACCACGCTGTGCATTAGATCCCCAGAACTTAACTATCTTATAACTGGAAGTTTGTAGAGTCTGACCAGTATATCCCCATTTCCTCTGTCCCCCAGGCCCTGGTAACCACCACTCTACTCTGTGTCTATGAATTCAGGTTTTTTTAGATTCCACATAGAGGTGATACACACATTATATCCGTGTTGTCACAAGTGGCGGGGTTTCCTTTTTCCTCTGGCCAATTACTATTCCACTGTATGTCTACATCACACCTTCTTTGCCCATGTATACATAGGTTGTTTCTGCACCTTGGCTATTGTAAATAATGCTGCAACACACAGGGGAGTGCAGACACATCTCTTATAACCAGTTTTCATTTCCTTTGGAAAAGAAACCCAGAAGTGGGAGGGCTGGATCCTATGGTAGTTCTGTTTCTAAATTATCAAGGAAACTTCATACTATTTTCCATCGTGGCTAGACCAGTCTATAATCTCGGCATGTATAGGGAACAAATAACTTTTTTTTTTAAAGATTTTATTTATTTATTTGACACAGAGCTCACAAGTAGGCAGAGAGGCAGGCAGAGAGAGAGGGAAGCAGGCTCCCCGCTGAGCAGAGAGCCCGATGCGGGGCTCCATCCCAGGACCCTGAGATCATGACCGGAGCCGAAGGCAGAGGCTTAACCCACTGAGCCACCCAGGCGCCCCAACAAATAACTTTTTAATATAAGAGTGCCACATGCAGTATTGGGGACATACTTATATACTGAAAAATTATTCAGGTTTATCTGAAGTTCCCATTTAACTGGGCATCTTGTATCT